TGCACCTGCCCTCCCCCCGTGGATAAGCCTTAATCCGCTGTGCAAACAGAGGCTAATGCCAGCGGAAAAGAACGGCGGGGATAGGACTATGGGGCACGCCTCACTGTCAACGCTATTCCGACTGTGTAAACACGCTGCATAGAGCGTGCTGTGTAAACTCGCACGCGAGCACGCGCAAACGACGGTGGCCGTACGTGCTGCAGTACAGGCGCGCCTCACGCTCAAATCACTGACGCCACCTCCACGCTGCAGCCCTGCGCTCACGCCGGGCACACCGTCTCTCCACGCAGACGCGCCACACACAGATCACAGACGCTATGCCGAGGTTCTGCCCACACACACAGAAATCACACTACACCGATATTCTGCACTCGAGTTTATTAATGGCGCCAATACGCATTACCAGGAGGAATGTTTCGCGGGGAGAACCTAGCGTAACTCTGCCTATGAACCCAGCTACTCAAAGGGTCGTGGCGCCACAGGAGTTGTGGACAATGAGAAGCAGATACTCAGGACTATGATGCAGTGAACATCCGTGAGGCTGTGTTGGGTTCCACAGACTGGACAACGTTTTTTTTATTCCAGTCACTATGTTCATGTGCAGGATTTAGAGTTAATTCCTTTATATATATATTTTTAAAGGCATTACTATCGTCACATAATAAACTGTAGTACACAAATAAAATAAAGCACACTAACATTACTGTAATAAGAGAAGGCAACTGCCCAACCATGGTTTGATCCTTTGATTACTAAGCTCATGAAAACTAGGGACAAGGCTTGGGCATGTGCTCAGAAAAGTAATTTGTCAATGACTGGCTAGAAAATACGATTTCAAGGAATAGATGCGTCAAAAAAATACGCATGCAAAAAATGCTTACTTTTCCTCCACTTTCCTGGAATCACATGGCAATGCCAGGATCTTCAGGAAAACAATCAAATGTATCGAAAATGCATCTAACACAGAAAATCTGCCCGTTGCGCTTAACCGAAATGGGGACTATTTTTCAGAGCCCCAAAAAATAGTCGACAACTTTAACCTTCATTTTTCTGAAGCTGGTGACGTTTTGATAATGTATTGCGAGTCACCCTTGCTCATGTAATTTCCTACACCCCTGTCCAAACATTAAACGAATTTCGTTTCCAGCCTATCCACGAAAGTAATGTTCTGAAACAACTGTCCTACCCCAAAGGGTCCTCCTCTACCGGAACAATAGTGCTCCCGTCGTTGCTCTGCTAACTGTTGGTCACCTAATATACAAACATATAGCCCATATTTTCAACCTGTCCATCAAATTAAGCATCAGTACCTCTAGAATGGAAACATTCCTATGTTCGTCTACTTCACAAAGGGGGCCCTAAAGATGATCCAAATAACTACCAACCAATCTCAATTTTGTCCCCGTTGATGACATTTTTTGGCAAATTATTAAACTACCAAATTAGCAGTTTCCTGTCCTACAACAATCTATTACATCGAAACCAATCTGGGTTCCGAAAAAAATACAGCACCACATCTGCTGCATTAGACTCTCTGAATCACATTTACAGTGGCCTTGATAATATGCAGTACTTGGCCAGTCTTTTTCTTGACCTGTCCAAAGCCTTTGATACACTCGACCACAACACCCTGCTTAGGAAACTAAGTTACCTCCGTTTCTCCAAACACGCAGTAGAATGGTTAAAAATGTACCTCTTCTCTCACCCAAACTGTATTCATGGGTGGTTGGAGGTCAACCAGTGTTAAGATAACAAAAGGGTTTCCACAGGGTTCCATTTTCGGCACCCTCTTGTTCTCTCTTCATGTCAATGACTTGGGCACTGACCTGGATCATTCCAGGGTAAATCTGTTTGCAGATGACACGACACTGATTAGTGCTGGCTGCTCTCCAGATGACGTGATTGCTAAGCTCCAGGGTGGTTTAAAAATCCATTAAGGTACTCCATTCCATCCTATTGTATCCACCATCAACTCACCTACCTAAAAACTGGCCAAATTTCTGTCCGAAACCCTGCTTTCATTGACGGGGAAGACCACCTCAGCAGTACTCAACTCAGCTGACTTGGTTTTTCTAATTAAGGACATTTCACTGTCTCCAGATGATTTGCTTGTCAGTTCAGATGTGGTCTCATTATTCACCAAGATACCTGTACCTGACACCACAGCAATAATTGAAGACTTGGTCCAATTGGGACTGAATCTGGATGTATCAACTTTGGTGAGGCGCTGCCTTACCAACACTTACTTCACCTGGAATGATACATTTTACAAAAAATGTAAGGTACCCCTATGGGTTCTTCATTATCACCAGTGGTAGTGAATGTTTTCATGGAGAAATTTGAAACAGATGTCATCTTGACATCCACCCTACGTTTCCCTGTGGAAGAGATACGTAGATGACACTTTCGTCATCTGGCCTCATGGCCGGCCAGCACTGAACCAATTGTTCAACCACATCAATTCCATACACCCATCCATCAAATTCACCATGGAAGTGGAAAATGCCGGCAAGCTACCATTCCTGAATGTTTTGATTGAGAAGAGGCCCGATGGCTCGTTGGGACATTCCATTTGCAGGAAAGCCACCCACACGGATTCCCATCCAAAGCCCGATTCCCACGACCAGTAGAATTCCCTCATCAAAACACTACACCATCGGGCCCACTGCATCTCCGACCAGCGTCACCTAGCCAGTGAACTGGAGCACACACACCAAGCCCTAAAGATAAATGGACACTGAGACCGCACAATACCCAAAGCTGTATCCCCAACCGTGGGGAGACAACCATCTGAGGACCTAATCAAATCCATCACCCTGCCATACATAGCAGGTGTTACCAAAAATATTTCCAAAATCTTTAAAAAACACAAGATCCAGGTCAGATTCAATACAGTACACAACATCCGTGATTTGATCCCATCTGCGAAAGATGTCATTCCTGACATGCAATACCACGGTGTCTACAAACTAAGTTGCGTGTGTGGCAGCAGTTACATTGGGGAAACAAAACAAAATGTCTTGGATCGTGTTGGCGAACACAAGGCAGATTTGAAACACAGCAGAACCAATACCTCTGCCATGGCTGATCATTGTTATTATGCAGTGGGCTCGCACGATATTGTTTTTCCGAGACCAAGGTACTCTGAAAACCTTCTGGCTACCATCAAAGATTAGTCCATGAAGCCATCCAGATTTTTAAACACGGAGATAATTTCAACCGAGAAGATGGGTATAAGCTGAGCAATCATTGGAAGGACGTTATTAACAAGTCGTAACTTGCCATGGTGCTTCCATCCTTCCTACCGTTTGGCTGTTATCTCCGACTCTCTGAGTTGCATTGCCCTGTTGGGTGCCTCTTAATTAACGACCTGGGGTCTCACTAACATGGCCACCTCTGCTCCCTTTGCCTCGATCTATCGATGGTTACGCCAGTGAGACAGAGATGGGCTGTGTGTCTCACTGGCGTAACCACCGTTGTGGTGGTTCTCTTGCGTTGACGTGCTTGCCTCTCACAGCGAAGTTGGCAGCGCCGCAGCTTGTTACAAAAAGACGTGACATTAACTTGCTAATCGCCCTAATCTCTCTGCCTCATCTCTCCCATCAACATAGTGTTAGTTTCCCATTAACACTGCTGGTGTGCGCATATGGGGCGATGGTACTCTTGTGCGGCGACGGACGCTCATTTGCTTTGACATGCTAACCTCTCTCCCTAATCTGTCTCTCCCTAATCTCCCCCATTAACACAACTGATGTGCTTGCGTGTGGGGATGGGACTCCTTTCCAGCTCGGACCCCGTCTGCTTGCCCTTGGCCAACATATATAACCTCTTGTTGTAGCAGCTCTCTCGCTGTGTTCTTCCTGGTTCAACAGTTTTACTGCTGGATCATTTTTTTCTACCAGAGGACTATCGCTTGTGTTGCGATCAAAACGTAGTGATATATATATTTTATCTTTTATACCTACGTGACTTTACTGAAAGAACCAAAGAGTAGTTTGAGCTTAGCTTAGAACCACATTAAAATCTTGATCTGGACTTCAATTAACACTTAATCGACTTATTGAGTTATGTTTGTGGCACTGTGTTCTGAATTAAGGTAGACCCAGTGAAAGTACAGGCACCCAATAATATTCCATCATTGAATCTACCGCACAGTCTCTTTGTCATTTATCGGAATGTGCACAATTTTGTAACATCTCAGAAGCTATGCAACATTGAGCCTGCATAGAGCTCGGATCAGTGACCACAATACACATATCCTGGGCAGTAGAGGGCTGTGCAGCAGCACGGTAGTTGTGTTTAGACGTCTGTCCTCCCTTCACGAACACGCACCAACCCGTGGTAAAATATTGGCAAAGAGCACCTAGACCCATTCAGTAGTACGAGGCAATAATCCAGCAGTGCATTGCCAAAGTCACGTAGATAGTTTAAAAAAAATACAGAAAAATAACATGATGACGATCGCTTGTGTTGTGATCGAAAGGTCGTAGTTTGTTATTTTTTTGCTATTTTCTTTGAACCCATCTCCGTGACTATACCGAAATACCCAAATAATATAATTCCTAGCACACGTGTGTCTAACGATTACTGAGTGGAAATATCACAGAGGAAAGAGTACACAGAACCAACACAATATTACATTGTATTATTACAGTGCATGATACATCTACTATCGACTAAGGGTGGTAGAACTGGTTGTAAGAGGCGTGATCAGGGAAGATTAAGCCAGGTGGGGATAATTGAAACCCTAAGTAGAAACATGTGACCCACCCCTAAAAAGGAGGTCGCTAAGCCAATGGCAAGCCAGCCCCTCCCTACTCTCCCCTCTCCACCCAGCCCCACCCCTCCGACGTGGACAGACATACACAATTAATCCCCTGCCTCCTGTGAATTAATCCTGGTTGGGCTTCCAAGTCCACTACGTTTCCCACCAGTATAATTGAAACCCCAAGTATAAACACGTGACGCACCCCTAAAAAGAAGGCCGCTGAGCCAATGGCAAGCCAGAAGGGGGCAGCTGGCTCGCATATATAAAGGACTGAGTCAGACCAGAGAGATCATGGTCCATAGTGGTGTTCAAGTGCAGAGGAGTGTCACATAAAACCAGCAGTATCCACGGACAGCAGGTGATGTGACAAGAGCTAGTCTTAAGAGGCTGTAAGTTAAACCTTCCACTCGTTGCAGAGTATTACAAGATGGTGTATTTGTGGCTCAAGCGGCAAAGTAAATAAGAAGGTTATGCTTGCATGGGGGTGCTGGTGGAAGTGCAGGCTTTAGAGCAGAGGTCTGCAGAAGGCAAGGAAGCCACATGGCGAGAGCAGTTTTAACAGCCGGAGGTTCGTTAAAGAAAGCGAGCTGCCTTCCAGCAGACTAACAGGGTGGCCTGCTGGAAGGCTACAGCGGTGGACATGGCGGAGGTGAGACGGGGGGGAGGGGGACAACCTGGGAGCCCCCAGTGCCACTTTGGCGTTTCCTGCTACTCATAGCAGGTCTAAGAGGCGACCTAACCAAGCTGCGTGTGCGCCTGTGGAGCTGTGAGTGTGTGGTCTGGAGTGGCGTGTCGGCGAGCACGGAAACTGAAGCAGCTCGGCAACCCGAGGTGGAAGGCAACAAGCTCACACGGGACAATGTGAAAACTGCGTGTGTAGTCGCGTTAAGACTTCGTTGGAACAGCGGGTTGTGTTATGGGTTGTGCCTGGGGCACTGCCATACTGAAATTGTGGCGATTCCTCGCTTTTTAGATGTGGATTAAATTTGACGGCTATATGCGCAAGCTCTCGTGTCCGTGACCATCGCACTCCACCCATGGTACTCGACTTATGCCCTTTATTTTTTAAATAACTCAAACGGGGTACGGCAGGTGAGGGTTTTTCTGACCCCCCCCCCCCCCCCCCATAAGTCCCTGGTGCTCATGCCAGAGCCACCAACAATCAAGCGAACAGGATAACTTTGTTCGGCAATGTTGTAACATTATGTACAGCGGGAGGTTGTGGTAGTTACGTTTTTGGTTTGCCAATTTGTGATATCGCTTTAGTCTCTAAGGATAAGAGGACCGAGCTTTGTTTAACCTCTTGTTCTCTTGTGGGATCCAGTTTGATCTTGGCGTGTTCTTCCGAAAACTCGACTTCATTCACTTACGCCTTCTTGAGTCACCCGAGTCCCTTCCACTGACATAGCTGACACATCACGCAAGCGCCATCTCCTAGACATGCATTTGGCGAGTCTCGGCTCCTGACAAAGGACCGATCTGAGCCGGTGTTTGGGCCCTGTCTGAAAGGTGTAGAGCAGCTTTTCTTGCCTCCGGTCAGCATTTCCCCACTGAAGAGGTCTTGTAGTGGTATTTTTTTGTGTGTGTTCTCTTCAGAGTAACATTGGTCTCGTCTCAATGTGTACATCTCTAAAAGGATAATTGTGTAATTTAAATCGTACATTGTGTAAGGAGGATATTTGAACGAAAACAATAAGTTGAATAGCCCTCTTCTGCTTGACTCATTGGGCCAACCCAGATGAAGGAAACAAAGTAATTAAATAACCTAAAAACTGGGGAGTGCTTGACAGGTATTAAAGTTCCTTATCTTTCATTGTTTTTTTTAGGCGTTTTGTTCGAAATTGTAACTCGATACAACTCTGTCAATGATTAAGCACCACAAACAAGTCCATATCACGTGTTCAGGGTTGCTCGGGTTCGATTTTAAAAGGAATGTATCCCTGGTGTAAAGTCTAAAGCAGTCTTTGCGAAAAACATAGTCGCGACCTAATGAATGGTTAAGTTGCAATTTTATTTTTCACTTGGACTGTCATTCTATACTCGCAGAAGACGCCTTAGCAGATGAGCAGAGCTATGGGTGGATCCTCCTCTTCACCCATTGCTCCTACTGTTGCATCTGAGGAGCTCACTTGCTCCATCTGCCTGGGCACGTTCGACTGCCCGTCCACGCTGAGCTGCGGCCACTCCTTCTGCATGCGGTGCTTGGAGGATGCGTGGGAAGCAGCCGGGAGTCACTCGTGCCCCCATTGCAGAGCCGAATTTACGCAGAAGCCGCAGCTGAGCAGGAACGTGGCGCTCGCCAACCTCGTGGAGCAGCTTAATGTGGCTGATAAAGTGGCTCTCCAAGTTCCCTGTGACAGCTGTCTGGGTGGTAATGAACCTGCTGTGAGAACCTGCCCGGTGTGCGAGATGTCCTTCTGTGAGCCCCATGGTAAACATCATCTGCAGAACCCGAATTTCAAGGACCATGAGCTGACGGAGCTGCGTGCCAACACCGAAGCTCGCAAGTGCAAGTTGCACAAAAAGCGTCTCGAGTTCTACTGCGCTCAGGACGAGAGACTGGTCTGCACGAGCTGCGCCATCGTGGGGGAGCACGCAGGACACAAATGCATCAGCGTGGAGGATGCGCACGAGGCACGGAAGGTGAGTGAAGCCACTAGGATACAGGATCCGAGGGGATTGCACCGGTGCGTGCCTCTGCAAAATTAACAATCTAGCAGATTGTACGCAATCACTTGGCTATCTTTAGTCGCACTATAAATTAGTCTGTGCAGACTTATAAACTTCACGTCTTCCCAAAAAAATCCTATAATTCCTTTTTGCTTTTTGTGAAGATATCTCATTGTAAGATTGACCTGCCAAAACAGACTTGGATGCATCATCCACTTTAAAATGAATATTTGTTTCATACAGAGAATGACATACAACTAATTTGCCATCTGTCATGCAGAGAAAACCAATAAAGACGTTAAATTGCACCATCCTTATTCCAATAGGCTACGCTGCATGATTCACGTTTTTTTTATGGATGTTTGAGCTCGATCAATTGCCTCTCCCCCCCAGCTTGCATTGCTCCATAATGGTTTGTGCAGCTGGGATTCAGAGTTGGGTTTGTGGATACACTCGCACAGTAACTCTTCATTACAGAAACCAATAGAGGAGAAGACGAGAGAAGTGGAGGAAAACAAGAATGAGGCCGAAGAGTCTGTAAAACAGATGGAGGCTGTTCGCAAGAATACGCAGGTGTTGAATCTAGGCATGGCTCTGGTCTCTAAACATTCACTTCGATATTTCCCAACTGAGTGCAGCTCTGCTGGTTTTTTTAGAACTTTGTAACATTCATTTTCAAAAGTAATACGTTACAAGGGGGGGAGGTGTTTACATTGCTTTATACTCGTTTTGAATGCAGTCTGAAAGATGTGTACACCCATCCATGGATGTATTGCTATTGCTTTACTGGTTAAACATGTAATTTTTATCCAAAGACCAACGGTAAATACGTATACAAACATTAGTTTTTTTATAGTTAGAATTGATTTAATTATAATTTACATGTACTTGCAGGAGCCAATTACCAAAACCAAAGATTACATCGCAGGTGTTTTCATTTGCATGAGGAAGGCGTTGGATGAGGAGGAGAGGATTGCGTTCCAGTGCATGGAACTGAAGGGGCGCGAGCTGCTGTCACCGATTGACGAGCGCATCGCTCATTACCAGCGGGAGATCGGAATGCTACAGCAGACAGCCACTCGCCTGCAGGTGCTCGAGGAGGAGAAGGACTCGCTCACTTTTATGCAGGTGAACCATTCTAGATTTGAAGCTTTCGTGACTGCAAGGATTCGTACGCTTTGGTTTTATCGGTAAAGTCACGTAAGTAAAATAAAATAAAACGATTAAATCACGACGTTTCGGAGGCAACACAAGCTTCCGTCTTCAGGTGGAACAGTCACAGCAAGATCGCTGCATCAAGACGCTTGATCAAGACGCTTGATGCAGCGATTTTGCTGTGACTGTTCCACCTGAAGACGGAAGCTTGTGTTGCCTCCGAAACGTCGTGATTTAATTATTTTCTATTTTATTTTACCTACGTGACTTTACCGAAAAAAACAAAGTAGGTGAACCATTGTTTGTCTGAACTTCGCATCGTACATAGCCAACCGTGCTAATCGGAGGTAAGTGTACAATATTAACGAGGCCTCTGCAATAAAGATGGCTCTTGGTTAGAGATTTGCTATTTCCATGACTTTGCAACAGAGCATTCATAATAAACCTGTATAGCAACTGAAGTGATTGACATTTTTAAGATGAAGTATACCAAAAAACAAACTCTACATTTGGCAATGACACTACTTTTACAAGTAAAACCTGTGTAAAAGGCACAGTGTTGGTCGATGGCCCTTGATAATCACGTGTATAAAGAGTCCAGAGTGGTTAATAGTTGGACTGCACTTTGCACCATAGATCCTGATGATAATTACATTTTAAAATGTGTTTTTCTGAGGACCAGTTTCTAAGACTTACACGAAATAGTTGCTTATCTGTTGCTAGTTTAACAAACCCTTAAATAATTAAGTGTATCACCAAATACACACGTTAGCATTATACGTTTTAAAAATGTTAAATGTAATTCTGGGTAGTCTGGAGGTGAGGTCTTCAAAACCCCCATTTCCATAATTTAGCATTTCTGAGGTCAATTAGGATCTCAATGGGATTGGAGATGATCTCCTTTAGATACAGACCTAGACGTTTTGAGCTGAGACACTTTCCCGGGCATCGGAGCATCACTGCTTCAGGCTAAGGCACAGTCCCTGGTCTTCACGAATTCCAGTCTACTTCTCAGTCTCGGTAGCTCTAGGTATGCTGCTCAGACCCAGACCACTTCGCAAACTAAAACTAAACCATTTTACCAGGCCCACACCTCCGGTAATGTCGCAGACTTTGATCTCTCATACTCCCCCACCCCCCGCCCCCGCATTCAGAATTATTATTGTAAAAACCCACGTGCAATACTCTTTCAAATTATTTTACAGCAGAGCCACTGCTACAATTGCACGTATATTGTTTATTCCAACTATGCAACTGTTAATTAACCCTGTGACACAGGATACATCATCATTGCAAGTCGGTTGCAAATGTAGTGAAGTAAATTGAAGTATCATTCACTTCGTGATGCTTTCCTTTGGCCAAACTGTCATTTCAAAAGTTTAATTCTAGTTGAGAGTTAATTTAGTTGCTTTAAGCGAATTCTCCGAAGCAGTATCCAAGTATGAATTGTAGAATTGGAGGAGCTCTTGAGCAATGTAAGGATAATATATCTCAAGCGCTTGTTTTTGGAATTCCTAAACCTTTAATTACTTCAACAGTTCAACCCTTAATGTTACGTGCCAGCAGCATTGTATAACTTTTACTTTACACAGAGTTAATTGATCAACATATTCTAATACACTTTGGTTCTTTCGGTAAAGTCTTGTAGGTAGAAAAAAAATATATCACGACGTTTCGATCGCAAAACAAGCGGTCGTCCTCGGGCGGAAGAAATAATCCAGCAGTGGAACTGCGAAACCAGGAAGAAACGCAGCGAGAGAGCTGTTACAACAACAAGAGGTTATATCTGGCGAAGGCCAAGCAGGCGGTCTGGGCTGGAAATTAATTCCATCCCCGCACGTCAGTTGTGTAAATGGGGGAGATTTTATTTTTCTACATACGTGACTTTACTGAAATAACCTAAGAGTGTGGATTCCTACAGTCACGAATGCTTCAAATCAATATATTTTAATTTGTTTAAGTTTTTAATAATGTGTGCGAATTTCAAAATCTTCATCGGGAAAAAGATATAGAAATAATTTGTCCCATGGTGTAGAGTAGTGTCCAACACTTGTCCACTCTATCTCGAGGCTATGTATGCCCTGCGAAGAAACAGCCATTGGCCAAAACGTCACCTCTTGTAGACAACTTTTTAAGGCATCATTATTCATAAATGCGTAGTGGCATAGCGCTGGCTGCTGGCAGAAAAAGTGATCTGCGGTGTATGGCAGTTCTGATGTCAGCAGGCCAGGATTATACGAGAGGGGCATCTAGGGGAAAGGGTCACAGAAGGGACCCACCATGTACCCTCTAGTAGGTTCCAGAAAGAGGGCGTGGTTGGGGCGGAGTGAGGCCACGCCGACAGTAAAAGAGGGGCCCCTGTGGAAGACCTTGGGGCTGTTAGGAGTGGGGATCCCTGTCGTGCTGCTGAAATCCATCATCACCATTCTACTCATCTTCACCATTCTTCTTGTCGTTGTCTCCATCTTTACCATCTCGGGGCGCCACCAGTCGGCCTACTAACTGTTCTAAGCGGTGTTGCTGATAATGCATTAACCCCGATGGTGCTCGTTAAATAAAGCCATGCCTCCCAAGTCTTATCGTCCCTGAGTTAGTCACTACAAATGTCTTGGGTTTTTCTGTGCTTGGCCTCCTGCCCAACAGTAGCATCAAATAATAGTTTCATGCAAGCCTCGTACAATACCATAATGCCTGGAAAACTTATGGAATATTACATTAACATTTCCCAGACGTTTATTAAAATGTAACTTTAGTTTTCTGTTTTGTTATGTGTTGAGAGTAGATGAAGTGGTGGCTGTTCATCCCATTTTTAGGTATCTCAAGTGACCTCTGGTCTTCCCATGAGGTTATTTGCCAGACCAAACATTCATATTCCTACTCTTTGGTTCTGTCGGTAAAGTCACATAGAGAAGAAATAAATTGAATCACTAGGTGATTAAATCACTAGGTTCTTGAATTTATTTTATACCTAAGTGACTTTATCGAAAGAACCAAAGGGTGGATTCCTGCAGTCACGAAAGCTTCAAATCAAGATATTCATATTCCTGTGTATCGCATTGTGAAAATTACTGTCATGGAGAGTCACATTTAACACCTCTCACTCTCTCCCACAGGGATATCTGGAGGAGACGCACAGGTACAATCTCTAATCACATTTAAACAAAGTGGTGCTGTGTGAGAGACATGGGCTGTGGAAGAGATCACACCTAATGAGGAGGGACTGTAAGACATGAGCTGATGTGATATATGGCCTATGTATCAGGCATGGACTGTGTGGTACACGTTTGATTATGCTGTGCTCATACATTGCGTAATGTAGCTGTGTCGAGCAAATTTGTCTCCTAACTTTTGTTCCAGGACAAACGTCACAAAGAAATCCCCACCACCAGTTCCACCTTCCCTGGACCCGACCACAATCTATTCCCTCGAAAGAGTTGTGGACAAATTCCTTCCGTTCATCCGTGAGTTTATCAGTACAAATTTAGAGGTGGCGTTTGTGTATTCGCCAGAGATCGCATCTCTTCCACACGCACACCTGATTGAGCTCTCTGGCGCTGTTTTCAAGCATCTGTGTACTTCATTCTCTCATTGCACCTTTGTGGTGCAAAAATAAGTTAAACATGCAACCCATTCATTCGATGTGTTTTACCACCAAATGTAGCTCGCTCAACACAATTCTGTAGTCCAACTACCATGATTGAACTTGTATATACGGAAACATAATGGTGCCGAGATCATCGTTCTTGATGACCTTGGGTGCCAACAGTTCTTCACTACTATATCAAATTTAAACGGCCATGACGCAGATTATTTTGCTATCGAGAACCATGTTGGTCAATTTGTTTTCTCGCCAAACCGTCTCTCACCTTACATCTGCTCGACAAACGCTTTCCACATGCGACTTTTCTACACTGGCAAACCTAACCACTCCCAGAAACAACTGAAAATCTGTCCCTAAGCAATCAAAGCTTGACTTGGTAAATCGTAAATGGGCATCCTGTCCAGTTGGTTCTCATCCTTTCTAGTCGTTAGACATAACTCTTTCAAACAACATCTGCAGATTTTTCGATTTCCACCAGTAAGGGATACATCTGGGGCAAATTCTTCACCTGCATGAAGAGGCCACTATTAGTATGCTGCAGTGGAAAATCGACTGACAACATTTAAATAACGCCGTCAAACAGTGGGTGCCTGGTAAGTTGGGTAATATCCAAACGTAATACCTCAAGGCTTATCCCGATGGTATACCTGGCATTGTGTTAAAATATGTTCTCGAACTTAAGTTTTTTGTAGGCTCTTCGAGCTGTCACAGCAGCCACGATGTACAAGTAACTTGAAATCTTGGTTCATGCCAGTACCAAAAAAAAGTAAACGTGTAATTGGCCAATAGTTGTTTCTTCATTACTCTAAAAAGTTCTCTCCTCGGCAATTTGTTCAATCACTTTTGAGAGTGCAATTCCAGATCAATGATCGGTATGGGTTCTGTAAAGCATGGCAAGCAGGTGCCCTGTTGGCGGATGCAACTTAATTTTGGTGGTCAAGCCTGAAACAGTTTGGAGAGTCAAGACCATAGCCTCCGACCGCTCGATTATTTGGTATTCCACGCCAATTGCCAAGTTACCATTTTTGGCGTACACTAATCTGCAAGTTTGAATTCACGTTGTAGGTCAATATATTTGGTAGCTGATGGTAGCCCATATGATGCCTTAACCATTTCGTTCTGTTCCACAAGTCTTTGTTTTTACTTTTAACTTTTTTTTATTTGGTGCCTTCCACTCAATAAAATCCCTTCCCAGATCATAGTCCTCATGATTCACAAGTTAATTAACAGACATGCAGCTGCTCTAAGTACATATACTTCACTGTCGATCAGCAGTTACTTGTCACCCAAATCAAGAGTCGTGTTCAACTACGTAATAAACACCCAGTCAGTGATAATACCAAAGAAGATAGCAAACTCCAGTTCTTACACGCTTAACAATGCTCCCAATACATAATAAAACACAGCAATCTCAACCTGCCTGTCATTGAATGGGTAAGAAGGCATCCAGAACCTTGGTCTTGAGTTTAAATCCCTTTGGCATAGCGGTGGGCACTTTTTACTGTGCCTTAAGTGATACTTCCGATTCCGTGCCATAGCTAACATCGGTGCTGAATGCGATCTATAAATATATCCTGAGCCTCTTCATCATCCTGCACTGACAATTATGGTAAACCTCGGTCAATCAACCCCGATATGACCGATAGTGGGAATAGGCCTTCATCCACCAACGAAGTGACAAGGGGATGAAGTTCTTGTAGATCAATAATGCAATTTGCATGTATATATTAAACCCTTTTAATTAATCAAATACTTCCATGAGACCTCCTTTTCCAGTAGCAAAAACTGAGTAACTCCGAGTTTACTCTGGTTCGTTGTTTTTGAGTTGTGCGCCTTTTGGCGTCATTTGGTCGAACACCATATGAGACTGGGCTCTAACAAACGCTGTCTCTGGTGTGGACCAATCAATTTCAAGGACAATGCACCATAAATTATCAGTGCTGTTTTTGTTAGCATTTTGACCGCAGTTATTGTGGTTAATGCAAACATGATCCCTTGTAAAAAAAAGTGTCAGTTTTGTTGCCAGATAAAAGGGAATTTTTTTATCATAATAAAATACTCTTTAACGCACCTTGTATATAAAAAATACATCGTTATGCATCCTAAGTTTATTAGTGCACATGTATATATTATATTGTTTATTCTGTTATACATTATTTCTGTGCTATCCTTTACTAAAGATGGACATTCACGAGCTATGGGCATAATCTCAATCCATAACGAATTCCTATTTGACTCGCTCCTTGGCCTCGCCCATAAATGTAAGACTTATTATTATACTGCTTAGTTTCATCATTTGTTTCTTTAAGTTATTTCTCCTATAGATGTTCTCTTGCTTTTATTGAGGCTTTCTTGTTGGCACTTCAGTTTCTCCTTATGTCATACATTTTTGAAGATGAAGGTCACACGCTAACCTTGTGCTCTGATTCGAGACTTTTACATTTGCACTGAAAGCCGCAATCTACATTCACATTGTGGTTTTTGAAGGCGAGGCGACGGCCAGCAAGCTTGGTGCTCTTCTGCCTTTTACCTCTGTCCCATTTTTGAGGACTCGTTGACAGTGATCACAATTGGTTTCCCTAGCGGTACAAAGAGTCCACAATATCATGATGGAATGATTGAGCTTGTGTCAATAGACTTGGTGATATCACAAATGAGTACACGTCTAGCGGTCAATTGTGCCACGCACGAGACGGTGAACTTGCCCGGGACTGACATGGCAATCGTGAGTCTTGATCTATGCGTCTGAACTTGTCTTTTGCTTTTCCAGGCGATGAAGACCGAGCTGCCCTGGGTGAAGTCGCCACAGCCGACCCAACTATCTGAGCATGAGGCGAACTCGCCTACCACCCCTCCTCCCTTGGGACGACCTTTCAGGACGTGAGCAGGGACCAATTTGAAGCTCAAGTCTGAAATGCACGTGGTGACTGACATGAGCGAAATGTCACTGCGCCCTACCGCTGGAACTGGCATTTTGCGACCCCCCATTACGTAACATATTATTATATGATAGGACAATAGTCTGAGTCCATACTTGGCAATAAGTAACGGCAAATCGGTTATAAGTGACTCAGAATTGTGCGCAATTGCGTATACAGTACACAACTTCCCTGAAGGCATCAACACCTTCAGCGAGCGCGATGCCGATCACACATGGTTCGAATTAGACCCTCGATCGATGGCTGCGCCATCGCCGGACGCACGTCGAATAAAAGCAAGGGACAAGTCCTTACTAACAACTCCGATAATTTTTCATTGCTGGAGGGGTTGCCCCGCCCCCCCGCCTGAAAATCCTGGCTCTGCCATTGACTACACATACACAAGTGAATCCAAAAATATTGTATTTCTGATTGGTCAATTGAGAGTACGCATCTTTAACTCGAAGCGAAGTACACGTGTTGTGCAATTTATGATTCACATCAACATTAATGGATGTGTGCAGTGAACAATTTGCATTGGCGACGTATGTTGCGAAACGTTCTACGTACACACGTTTGGATGCCTAGCAAATATTTGAATATAGAAAAAAGATAGTTTTTTGGAAAACACAGGGCACAACTTAATATTCAAAAATAATGCAGCGTAACCTCCATGTAAGCTGTGGTGGCTGATGGGTTCTTAGCTCCATGAAAAGGTTTGAAGGGTTAGTGAACTAGATATTAAATGTATTACTTTGAATTAAAGTACGATTCAATAATTATAAAAATAACATACGTTATTTTTCATTATATAGTCGGTATGAAAAACTTTGGTACGAATTAATTATCCATGACATTTACCAATTTTATTGATCGATTTTAATAATTACACAACTTATTCACGATTATGGTGCAGTCTTTGAGTATTATCAATGGTCAATTATGCATATAGTCGATGGCAATTACGCATGATCAGGAGCGATTGTCGATTATGAGAGATATTATGACTTTGAGTTCAATGTTATTTTGTCATATAAAGTTAACAATTAATTTATATAGCCTCATTAATTAGGTTATTGGATTTTACGTTGTCTACAATATTGTATTAATCGTGGTACATGTTTGTGACGGGCACACCTCTGGTTGGCTCCTTGTCCCGGTCACGTGATGCACTTCAACCAATCCGTGCCGCGTCATCACAGAATGACAATAACAGACCTGGGTGTTTATATATATTTATAGTGACTCCTGAGTAATGCAGTTCATGACATGAGCATGTGAAAGAAGCACAAGAAATCAAGACCGACCCCCCCCCCCCCCCTCCAATCAACCAATACAGACACTCTAGTGATAGTAGATGTATCATACACTAAATGTAATAATACAATTTAATATTGTGTTTGTTCTCTGTACTTTCCTCTGTGATATTTACACTCGGTAATTGTTAGACACACGTGTACAAGGAATTATATTATTTGGGTCTTTCGGTATAGTCGCGAACATGGGTTCAAAGAAAATGGCAAAAAGTAACAAACTACGACCTTTCGATCACAACACAAGCGATCGTCATGTAATTTCTGTTATTTTTTTGAAACTATCTATGTGACTTTGGCAATGCACTGCTGGATTATTGCCTCGTACTACTGAATGGGTCTGGGTGCTCTTTGCCAATATTTTACCACGGGTTGGTGCGTGTTTGTGAAGGGAGGACAGACGTCTAAACACAACTACCGTGCTGCTGCACAGCCCTCTACTGCCCAGGATATGTGTATCGTGGTCACTGATCCGAGCACTATGCAGGCTCAATGTTGCATAGCTTCTGAGATGTTACAAAATTGTGCACATTCCGATAAATGACAAAGTGACTGAGGTAGATTCAATGATGGCATATTATTAGGTCCCTGTACTTTCACTGGGTCTACCTTAATTTGGAACACAGTGCCACCGACATAACTCAACAAATCGATTAAGTGTTGATTTGAAGTCCAGATCAAGATTTTAATGTGGTTCTAAGCTAAGCTCAAACTACTCTTTGGTTCTTTCAGTAAAGTCACGTAGGTATAAAAGATAAAATATATATCACTACGTTTCGATCGCAACACAAGCGATAGTCCTCAGGCAGAAAAAATTAATCCAGCAGCAAAACTGCTGAACCAGGAAGAACACAGCGAGAGAACTGCTACAAGAGGTTATATATGTTGACCAAGGGCAAGCAGACGGGGTCCGAGCTGGAAAGGAGTCCCATCCCCACACGCAAGCACATCAGTTATGTTTATGGGGGAGATTAGGGAGAGACAGATTAGGGAGAGAGGTTAGCATGTCAAAGCAAATGAGCATCTGTCGCTGCACAAGAGGACCATCGCCACATATGCGCACACCAGCAGTGTTAATGGGAAATTAACACCATGTTGATGGGAAAGATTAGGCAGAGAGATCAGGGAGATTAGCAAGTTAATGTCACGTCTTTTTGTAACAAGCTGCGGTGCTGCCAACTGCGCTGTGAGAGGCAAGCACGTCAACGCAAGAGAACCACCATAACGGTGGTTACGACAGTGAGACACACAGCCCATCTCTGTCTCACTGGCGTAACCATCGATAGATCGAGGCAAAGGGAGCAGAGGTGGCCATGTTAGTGAGACCCCAGACCGTTAAGAGGCACCCAACAGGGCAATGCAACTCAGTCGGAGATAACAGCCAAACGGCAGGAAGGATGGAAAGTACCACGGCAAGTTACGACTTGTTAATAACGTCCTTCCAATGATTGCTCAGCTTATACCCATCTTCTCGGTTGAAATTATCTCCGTGTTTAACAATCTGGATGACTTCATGGACTATTCTTTGATGGTAGCCAGAAGGTTTTCAAAGTACCTTGGTCTCGGAAAAACAATATCGTGTGAGCCCACTGCATAATAACAATGATCAGCCACGGCATGGGTATTGGTTCTGCCATGTTTCAAATCTGCCTTGTGTTTGCGAATATGGTCCAAGACATATCGTTTTGTTTCCCCAATGTAACTGCTGCCACACACACAACTTAATTTGTAGACACCATGGTATTGCATGTCAGGAATGACATCTTTCGCAGATGGGATCAAATCACGGATGTTGTGTACTGTATTGAATCTGACCTGGATCTTGTGTTTTTCTTTAAGATTTTGGAAATAGTTTTGGTAACACCTGCTATGTATGGCAGGGTGATGGATTTGATTAGGTCCTCAGATGGTTGTCTCCTTATGGTTGGGGATACAGCTTTGCGGATTGTGCGGTCTCAGTGTCCATTTATCTTGAGGGCTTGGTGTGTGTGCTCCAGTTCACTGGCTAGGTGACGCTGGTCGGAGATGCAGCGGGCCCGATGGTGTAGTGTTTTGATGAGGGAATTCTACTGGTCGTGGGAATCAGGCCTTGGATAGGAATCCTTGTGGGTGGCGTTCCTGCAGATGGAGTTTCCCAACGAGCCATCGGGCCTCTTCTTAATCAAAACATCCAGGAATGGTAGCTTGCCGTCATTTTCCACGTCCATGGTGAATTTGATGGATGGGTGTATGGAATCGATGTGGTTGAACAATTGGTTCAGTGCTGGCTGGCCAAATGACGAAAGTGTCATCTACTTATCTCTTCCAAAGGGAAGGACGTAGGGTGGATGTCAGGATGGCATCTGTTTCAAATTTCTCCATGAAAACATTCGCTACCACTGGTGATAATGAATAACCCATAGGGGTACCTTAATTTTGTTTGTAAAATGTACCATTCCAGGTGAAGTACGTGTTGGTAAGGCAGTGCCTCACCAAAGTTGATACATCCGGATGCAGTCCCTGTTGGACCAAGTCTTCAATGATTGCTATGGTGCCAGGTACAGGTACCTGTGTGAACAATGAGACCACATCGAAAATGACAAGCAAATCATCTGGAGACAGTGAAATGTCCTTAATTAGAGAAACCAAGTGAGCTGAGTTGAGTACTGCTGAAGTTGTTCTTGCCCGTCAATGAAAGCAGGGTTTCGGACAGAAATTGGGCTAGTTTTTAGGTAGGTGAGTTGATGGTGGATACGATAGGATGGAATGGAGTACCTTAATGGATTTCTAAACCACGCTGGAGCTTAGCAATCATGTCATCTGGAGAGCAGCCAGCAGTAATCAGTGTCGTGTCATCTGCAAAACAGATTTACCTTGGAATGATCCAGGTCAGTGCCCAAGTCATTGACATAAAGAGAGAACAAGAGGGGGCCGTAGATTGAACCCTGTGGAAACCCTTTTGTTATCTTAACACTGTTTCACCTCCAACCAGCCATGAATACAGTTTGGGTGAGAGAAGAGGTACATTTTTAACCGTTCTACTGCGTGTTTGGAGAAACGGAGGCAACTTGGTTTACCAAGCAGGGTGTTCTGGTCTACTGTATCAAAGGCTTTGGACAGGTCAAGAAAAAGACTGGCCAAGTACTGCTTATTATCAAGGCCACTGCAAATGTGATTCAGAGAGTCTAATGCAGCAGATGTGGTGCTGTATTTTTCCGAACCCAGATTGGTTTCGATGTAATGGATTGTTGTAGGACAGGAAACTTAATTTGGTAGTTTAATAATTTTTCAAAAAATGTCATCAAAGGGGACAAAATTGAAATTGGTCGGTAGTTATTTGGATCATCTTTAGGGCCCCCTTTGTGAAGTAGACGAACATAGGAATGTTTCCATTCTAGAGGAACTGATGCTTCTTTGATGGACAGGTTGAAAATATGGGCTATAGGTTTGTATATTAGGTGACCAACAGTTAGTAGAGCAAAGACGGGAAAACTATCTGCTCCGGTAGAGGGGGACCCGTTGAGGAAGGACAGTTGTTTCAGAACATTACTTTCGTGGATAGGCTGGAAACGAAATTCGTTTAATGTTTGGACAGGGGTGTAGGAAATTGCATGAGCAAGGGTGACTCCCAATACATTATCAAAACGTCACCAGCTTCAGAAAAATGAAGGTTAAAGTTGTCCACTATTTTTTAGGGCTCTGAAAAATAGTCCCCATTTCGGTTAAGCGCAACGGGCAGATTTTCTGTGTTAGATGCATTTTTGATACATTTGATTGTTTTCCAGAAGATCCTGGCATTGCCATGTGATTCCAGGAGAGTAGAGGAAAAGTAAGCATTTTTTGCATGCCGTATTTTTTTGACGCATCTA